ATTTGGCTTCTGTACAAGAGGTCAAAAAAGGTGTTACTGACGAGACTAGTGTTAAATTGATTTCATCAATGTTTTAAGTTTAATGCCGATTTAATATTTAAGACACAAAAGAAACTTTACGTCAGTAAGTTGGACATTTGCCTAGTAGAATAAAAATATGACCTTCACACAAAGGGCTAAAAGTCTGTGCCAATTTTTTTTTCAAGTTTGGAGGCAGTGTGGTCAAGAAATTGCAACCCAGAAAGGCATTAGAGCATGTCAAGAAGGCTAAAGCACCTCTCCATATTAATATGGAATATCAAGACAATGTGACAATTATGGTGCTTTTTATAGACACAAATTAATTATGAATGTTAATTAACATGGGCTTGTAATTTTTTAACATTTTACTCTTATATGTGACTTGTAAATTTTTTATTTTTTACTTTATTTATTTATTTATTTATTTTGAGCACTGAAAACTTTGTCTCATCAAAATTAGAAGCAGTTTGAAATTTCTTGGGAATCAAAAATATAATCTTAATAGATGAATTCAGGCACAATGGTTGCTCTGGTACATTAAGTCTACATGTAACATAATTCTCAATATTTGATGCTAGTACACTAATATACATGTAGCAGGTGTCATATTGGTGCATTTTCAAACATTTTAGCCAAACTGTAGGATTATATGATAAAAAAAAGGAATTTTTTCTGATTTTTGAAAGTGAATACAGAAACAGTGCAATTGTACTAAGGATTCGTATTCTAGTTCTAGAAAGAAGATCCTTAGAAACAATACATGCAATGATTCGTCTTAACGATCAATATATTTTCCCAAGATCACAGGAATGGATGGAGAACGTGATGTAAACAAGACAAATTGATGTTTTCTGATGCGCAGAAGCTAGATATTTTATTATGTCTACAAAAGTATTTGCAACTTCAAAAGCTTGCACTGCAAATTAGGTTTTACTAAATGCCAAGGTTGCAGGGAAAAAAATATAATAATCATTTAAACTCTGCAAGTTTTGTATAATATATATATATATATATATATATATATATATATATATATATATATATATATATATATATATATATAGATAGACTCAATTACATGTACAAACAGTTCACAAAAATGCTAATATGCGCCACACAGAAACAAGCCCATACATTGGTAATGTTAATTGTAACAAAAGGCCCATGGACCACATCGCTCACCTGAGTCACTATAGCCCTATTATTCTTATGCAGATTTTTTTCCCTATGTATTCCTTAGTATGTAAAACTTTGATGACCTACTGTGGCCCCACCCTACCCGGTAGTCCAAGTTATAATTTGAAAAAAAGTTTGAATCTACATTGGATACCACTACCTTAAGGTTCTTCCATATTAAAATGACTAATCATGTCTTTGCAGTTGTTTATAAGAAGAACATTTTTTTTTTCTATGTATCCCTATGTAAAACTTTGATTGCCCATTGTGGCCCCACCCTGCTCTTGCTTCTTCCTTTAAATATTTTTCTGAATTATTAAGATAAAGTTTTGCTTTTTATATGTGTTTGCATAATTCCTTGCTAGATTGTAGACATCTCCCATGCGAACAACCCCCCCCCCCCCCCCCCCCAAATAATTTTGCCAGTAATACCTTACTCTAGAAAAGAAAGCTAATTTAAGGTTATTGTGCCCTCAGTAATTTTATAATTAAATTATAATTTTATAATTAATAATAATTTAATAATTTAGTTTTTACTATACTTTGGAAGACAGAGCCAATTTATGATTGTTTCCCCTTAAAAATGTCAAATGTTAGGTAAATTCTGCTAGCTAGCTTCCATACTAAAATTGCTTCCTACAGGCTTGTTGCAGTTGTACTGCATTATTAATTCATGTAATATATTGAAATAAGAATTGACTAACTAATGGAAATCATTTAAATAATGCAATATACACCGTAGTTTTAAATGTGTGAAACATTTTAATTATTAATGTGATGGATCTATACAAATACGAACTACATGAAATATTTTATAGTGAGATTTTTAAGTGGGGTGCTAATTCTGGCTTATTTAATCAGTTTAGTAGTAGCTAAAATTTTAACTGCTAAATTACAAGTAATGAATGCCAAAAAAATATCAACTAAGCATGCCAGTCAGTTATCAAATATACCTGTCTGAACTATTGTGTAAATTGGTATTCAAACATACAAAGACCCATCTGGAAGAAACATTTACATATCTAAGGTACCTGAAGCACTCTTCTGTTAAGAGGTACCAGATTATGTCACTGTGTCGCAACTTCATGGAATATCATGTCCGCCAAAAAAGGTTCCACTAAAAGATTATTGGCGTACCTTTGAGCAAGCAAAACACCAAATTTTATACCCATTGAAGAAACTGCTATACAGTACACTAAAACACACTTATAATGAATAAGTTAATAAAAATAATTTTTCTCCATTATAAACGTAATTCGTTGTATCCATTAAGTTCAGAATATATTTTAAAACCACAATTAATGAAAACCACTTTGCTGTAAGCTTCAATACATTATAAGCATGTTCCCTATAAGCGTGTTTTCTATATTTTACAAAAAGGAAGAAAAGAAGTTCTTAGGATGGAACTTTGACATCTTACCATATTCCTAAGACACTTTGTTCAAGGGTGTAATGATATGACTCAAGTGTATTGTGATATATCATGATACACCGTGACTGTATCATGATACATATGATGATATTTTACCTTTCATATTTTTAATACAATTTGTATGTTCTTGAATGAGAAACTCTCTATTACGATATGAGAGGAAAAAAGATGTAAATTATTTCATTAAGTTCACACATAATGTAACAAGTAATAAGTTCTGCATGAATACAATAAAAAAAGGCTAATAAAAAATCACTGAGTTAAATTTAAAAGAAATAATGTACAGTTCAAATTCAATATCTCGAATACCATGGATATGCCAGAGTGATTGGAGGTCCCAACTACTTATTTCTTGAGTATTTTACCCCTGATATCTCAAATACTTGGATATCTCGAAGTTTTTTCTCAGTCCCATCAAGTTCGAGATAAAGAGATTAGACTGTAAATTGCTCAAGATATTTAATATACATGTATATCGTGATATGGTTTTGTATCACAATACAGTACAATTTTTTGTGTGTATGAATTGGAGTATATCGGTATATTGTTCCTACTTTTGTTTGTACCTGAAGACATATCTCTAGGTAATCATAAGATATCCTAAGACATTTAGTCATAAAGTATACTCTCTCTTACTTTGGAAATTTTCAAAAACATGCCTACTGGTTCTTACCACACCAGGTATGACCTATATTAAATGGAAAGAAATATATTTACATGCATTTACATGTATGTTTTTTTTAATATGGAATTAAGCATGAAAATGTTAATGAAAAAAAGTGATTATTTAATGAAGGAGTTAAGCTCAGAATAATTAGCCTGTTTAGTTTGTTACTTGTTTGATATGTATATGTACGGTGTAAGTTATTGAAATATTTCGTTGATGATATGAAAAAACAAGATGTGTTTGTGAAACACTGATGCCCCCATATGACAACTTATAATGAAGGTTAAACTTTCTCAAATGCAAATCAAATATGTTGCTATGTATACACAAAGAAAGGTCTTGTCTCGAGGAATGTACCTGTGAAATATGAAAGCCCTAGTAGCAACCATTGAATATATATGGAAAAGGTTAAAGTTTTTCAAAAGTAAGTCAAACATCAAGGTCAAATGGTCAAAATTAATCATTTAATGGTGTTCCAAGGAAAGGCCTTCTCACAAGAAATGCACATGTGAAATATGAAAGCTGTAGCACCAACCGTTCAAAAGTTATGGCCAAGGTTAAGGTTTCTCAAAAGTAGGTCAAACTCTGAGGTCATGGTCAATGGGCTATAATTGTTATTATCCAAATGAAGGTATTGTCACAAGAATTACACATGTGAAGTATGAAAACCCTAGCACCAAGCGTTCAAAAGTTATGGCCAAGGTTAAAGTTTTTCAAAAGTATGTCAAACTCCAAGGTCAAAAGGTCAAAGTTGTTGGTATCGAAAGAAAGGTCTTGTCACAAGGATTACACATGTGAAGTATGAAAGCCCTAGCACCAATTGTTCAAAAGTTATAACCAAGGTTAAAGTTGGTTTAAGTTTTGCAAAACTGGGTCAAACTCCAAGATCAAGGTCAAAAGGTCAAATATGATGGTACTGAAAGAAAGGTCTTGTCACAAGGAATACACATGTGAAATATGAAAGTCATAGCTCCAACCAATCAAAAATTATGGGCAATGTTAAAGTTTTTGCAGACAAACAGACAGACAGACGGACAGGGCAAAAATTATATACCCCCAAAGCTTCGATTACAGGGGCATAAAAAAGAGTTTACTGTTAATTTCTATAGGGTACCTTATTCATTCAGTTTCGATGAATAATCCTATATAAATGAATATCATTTACACCTGGATTTTTTTTATTTATCCAATATCCTGTTGAGGTGAAAGCAGGTTAACAGTTACAGTTCACTGTACGTGCAAGATAATGAAAACTTTCTCTGTTTGAAAGCTTAATGGCATTGTTCAGACAGTCAAACAAGCATACCTGGAGTTTTGCAGGTTTCAAGACTATAAGGTCACATGTACCATCGAGGCTTATAAAAATCTCATTGCTGTGGCTTGGATGAGTGAATTATGGATCAGATGACTCAATCTGTTAATTGATTGTTTGATACAGAAATTGATTTTTTTCTGGGTTTTGTAAGCTTGTACGGTAGTCTGTAGTGTGTTCAGAGTGTATCATTGTGTTTAAGATTTATTATTACAGCACATACAGTATATATAGGCTTAGCTGGTCATGTGACCATTCCTGTGACGTTTTTAATTGTATACATATAAGGAACGTTGCCCACTTGTAAATCCTTCCTTTAAATAGAAGTTTTACTTGGCTGTGGAAGGTTTAAAACATTTACAAAAGAACACGTACTTAACACTGAAGTGAACATTTGTAGAAGGAAATTTAACAAACATGTCTGGTGGCGTTAAAGTCAGTGAAAAAGCATCAGGAGTGAAGACAGAGGATGTGTTACAGGCCGCAAAGAAAATGATGGGGAGGGAGTTCCAGCATGTGCTGGCTGCCCTCCTCAAAATCCTCCCCGACTATGAGGAAATGCTGGTAAAGTCACAAAAATTTCTCTTCCTGATTTCTTCTCTACTGCTTTATTCTTGTACTTAAAAAAGTTTTGATCGAATAACTCAACTAAATGACCCTATAATTTGGATATTTAATGCATTAATGTTATAAATACACATAGGTTCATGTTTTCAGTTGATTGTATGGAAAGAAAAAAATATCTATGACAAAATTTGTTTGGTAGTAGGTGTAAAGATAGTATTTTTTAAATAGATGTATGGTTTATATGAATTTCTATTCATTGGTATGTGTGAAGCTTCATAAAACATGATATTTCAAAATGTCACTTGAGCAGGTTACCTGACAGATTTAATGATCAACTATACTATAACCATCTGTTGATTGTTAGGGCAGTATAATGTGTTTGAATTGGATTGGTTATGGTACCATTTTTGAATGTTTCTCAGATTCAAAAGTTTGACTATCATAGATCTTGTAAAGTTAAAGATTGAAGACATGCTTGTTTACTGTTGACATTAGAAAAGGTTGTTGCCCATCTCCTTGAATTTGATTGGCTGATATAGGTGGGTGCGTCTCAATAGTAGTTCAATGGATTTTTCCACATCGAGGCAGATCTGACGCAAGAAAATATTGATTAAAGAAAAAGCATTCAATATTGATGTAAAACACTCACACACTCTCACATGATCCAAAATTGTTGCCAAGATGCTTTATAACATGCCAGGAGATAATTTGTGTCTTTCGTAATCTTAGTCACATTTAGATGTATGTTGTAAAGTATCAATGTTCTAAAAGATATTGCTGTTTTATTAATATGAAAGTTACAGAAGTTTGCATGGATTGATTCTATAAATTTTTGCTTCACTGCATTTTTTTTGGATTCAGGGGAAAAAAAGATGAAATTGTTGATAAAATATTATTTACATGAAGATTTTTTTTTAAAGGGCACTTTTTAAAAATGGGAAATAAATTTGAAATAAGTCTGTTTGACATGCAGCAGAGTTGAGTGAGAAGTGAAGAAAATGTAAAGAAATGTTAAACATTATAATGAAGCAAAAAAATGTCATTATTAAGAATTGTTTCTTTAAAGTATTACATGTATTTTGTATCACTCTGGTAAAATCTAATACTTTGTAAAAGGTTACATTTATTTACTCAGTAAACACAAACACATCTAAGAAATATTTAATACTCTTGATCAGGAGTTGAATTAATTTCTTAAAAATGCATGCTCATGCAGTTTTCAAGATTTTTCCTCTTTTATTAAAACTGGCGATTTATTAGCTACTACGTATATTAGATTTACAAGTATCGTCAGTTTTGACGTAGGGACATGGGGGTTTATCAAGAACATAGATGAATTATTCTCCCTAGGATGTAAAGCTTCCTGTTTGTATGACAAGCCTTAATTCTGTCATAACTTAGTTCTGTCATAAGTGTACACACATGTAACTAAAATCTAAAGTCACATTAGTACCTGTCCATTTTGGATGTAAACTTTACATTTTGGATATCTGCTTTGCATGACCTGAAATGTCAATAACTTAAATCAGCAAGAATCAACATTCTGTTTGGTTGAACGATTTTAAATGAATTGCGTCATCATTTCCGTAAACTGATTTTAAAAGCTTTTTGAGGTGTTATACCAAAAAGGAACTGGCAAGATGTATGTGGAATGGAATTTGTGTAACTGTTGTTTGTTTTGGTAAATTTTAACAATCATTCATTCGTATTGCTAATGTATAAACCAGGAAGTTGTGATACAACAGAAATGAATTGTGATTTGTGACTAAATTTGGACATTCCACTTTTACAAGGCAGGAATGCCGGGAACAGCCGATTTACTCCCTAGAACTTCTTCGAAAAGGACTCGTACGGTAAAACCAAATCTTTGTTTCTGATTTTTTTTCTGATCCAATGTTCCAATGCCCTGTGTTTGACATTGGGGTATATATTTTTTATTTGTTTCCTTTTTGGCAGTTTTTAAATTTACTTTCAGTATTATTTACAAAGTTTATCATGTGCATTCATTCTTTCCTCCTTTTGGAGCAAGTTGTTATTTCAAACACAAACCCAGGTACAATTGAACCTACAAAAGGCTTTTCAGGCAAATAATCAGTTTTAAGTATTTTACTACAATTAATTGGTCTCTAGCCAATATCATTTGCCAAAAAACCCAGACAATTTTAGAGATTAGCAATTGGAAAACCTTATCGATGGAAATGCATGTTTCATTTGTGTATGCAAATGATACTTTTGTAATTGTTACATTGAAGGCCAGTATTTAGACAACTCAGTTTTTTGTATGTTAGAAAAAAATCCCACAAATTGCTATGTATAATAAACTGATAATTAAAAATAGATTGTAAGTAAGCAAGATGCTCCCAGAATAAATTCCTACCTATAAAAATATTGTAATTGATGAGAGAGGTTATTAAGACTTATAGTGAAGGTAGCAGACTTTTCTGGATGTTCTGCAACTCATTAAGTAGATTATTGGCATTCTGCCAGCCTATAGCAGATCAATATATACTTGCTAGAAATTCCTCTGTTTATTTATGAAGGTCACCCTGTCAGGACATCTTTTCTATCTGCTCAATAGCAAGGAGCTTGGGTCTTTGAAGGGGGGTCAAAGTGCAACAAGTTCTCTGTCAGACAAGATATGTGCTGTGCAGTGTAGTAGATTCTTCGGTATGTGAACCGGATATTGTTTATGACTAACCTTACGCTCCAAAGTTCATTGTAAACCATGTTGCCAGAGACAAATGCTCAGGTACCTAAGTCGAGTCAGAAAAAACCATCTAGGAAACGGTCAACGAAATCTAAAGATCGGAGTCAGGCCACAGTAAGTTTGTTCAGGTCATTTAAGTTTAGCCACTTTGATATATAGATTTGATAAAGGGAAGGAATATATGTGTGTATATATAGCCCGGTTGGTGACTGTGTTGATTTGTAAGTGTTCTGACAGAATGATTTAGGGGGGTATGTAGTTATTCCAGGTAAAACGTATTAACTATCTAAAGGTACTTAAGAGATGAAAATGACCTAATTGACCCAGGAGTTTCTTGATGACACTTAATGCACCTGTTTACCTGCTGTTAGTTTATCTGATGCAATTGAATTTCAGTGTGTCAACAACTCTCCTTAGAGTTTGGGCAATCCTTTTGTCCTAGGTCTTATGTATCAGATATATTTTTGAGTGTACTTCTTCTTTGGAGGTCTGGACGTGTAATAAATTGTATTGCTACAGGTAAACCTGCAGTCCCCTGTCCTTGGCTTTTTTGGGTCACTGAACCTATTTGTAGGATATCCACTCTGGGGGTCTAAACTCAGATGCTGTCAGATTCTTTGTAGCTTCATTAATAATTGTACTGGTATTTTCATGCCTTGTGTCATGTGAAGAGAGTGTGTGTATTTATAATTATTTAATGGATCCATTCAATTAATTTTCAACAATAAGTTATAATATATGAGTGAGTTTACTAATAATACTAAATGAATGTAAATCTTCAGATTGTAATACAAAGATTCATCACATTTTGAGAGAAATTTATTTTAGTTGTGAATCAAAGTCACACAAGGAGACAGCCTAACAAACCTCACAGAACAGCAGTGATTAATTAAATTCCTACTAATATTCAAATCCAAGCTCATTAGCATTGGGAACATGAGCTTGCATGTAAATTTGTAGTAATTTTGAAAACCTTTGAAGTTCACAGCAGAACTGTGTTGACGTAAACAGACTGTTTTGTCATGTCACTGCCTTTCCATCCCTCAGGGTGTCTGCGACCTGCAGTCTCCCGGCTGTAATCACTGCTATAGTTCTGGTGATTCTCGTCGCATTCTTCGATAAAGTACCATAATCGATACTTGCATTTATACCATGGTAATAGATCACAGAATCTACTATTCCAGATCTTTCTTGTTCACATTGATTACTTGAGAGAAAAATTAGAGCAGACAAATTCATCGAGTCTAGAGGCTCAGAATGAGATATTATTAGATGTTTGCTGTTGAATAATGGTTTTTTGGTAGTCAAGCATAAACATTTTTACAGCTTTAAATGTTAAAGATCTGAAATAAACTTTTACATCAAAGAAAATCTAGAATATGAATTACCTGTAAAAATGAAATCATTTTATGTAACATAAGGTGGATATACCTGGAACCTCGAGTCTAATATGTCAAGAAATACAAAGAAGCTCTGTGCTAAAACATTCACAGATTGCCTTCATATCCTTAATTGTTGATGATCTATGAATTAAAATCAAGTCCTAAAACATATGTTAATATTAAAAATGTTAATTTTGTTTTGTAATATGGTCTCAAGAGTAGCTGTTACTTAATTTGCCTATGAATTTCAAATGAATAAACATGTTTGATTGATCTTCTTTATCTTTGTAGGTAGAAAACCTTGTTAGACCATTTATTCTTAAAGATGAAGACTACAAGCACCTCATGGATATCATGTTACAAGAATTTAACAAGGGATTGGGCAGTAAAACAAACCCCACAGCCAAGGTCAAAATGTACCCCACATATGTCAGGGACGTCCCTGATGGTTCAGGTAAGACTATAAATAAATCGTGTTGTTTATGTGAGGTCAGAAATGAACATCCATCAAACAATATATTGCCTGCTGCATGCATGGATAAAGAAGATTTTTTGGGGTCAGTGGGGATGGAGGAAATATTATTTAACTTGGCCCAGGAAAGCCAAGTTGAAAAATGAGCTATATTTGGGGAAAAAAACTTGCAGACAAGAATACTTGGTAGCTAATATTAGGGGGGGGGGGGGTCAAATCACTTTTAAAATTTCTCTTTATTTCCTAGAAGATGGAAAATTCAATTTGAAAAATAACATACAAGAAGATGAGATGAGATATGTCAAGTTTTCTAGGAAGGGAGGAAATGCACTTGAAGATAACTTGTTTATTTGGTGTAGTCTCTAAAAACATCTTTAATATTTACCTTCCTTTTTGGCTTGTACTTTTTTTATATACTTGATATTCAGATAAGATTATATTTCGTAAACTGTTTTATATATGCATTCAAGGGGCTGTATTGTTTGTTAAATATAGCATGTATAGTATTCTAGGTGTTTTTTTTTTAATGTTCCAAGAATGTTATTTAAAGATCAAGGAGGATACATTTTACAAATATAATTTGTACATCATGGAATTTTTTAATGCAATCTGTTGTAAGTTCCATTTTGTATTTTAGAGGATGGAAATTACCTAGCACTGGACTTGGGGGGTACAAACTTCCGTGTGTTGTTGATTAACCTTAATGGTCAGGAAGTGACCATGGAAAGCAAAATCTACCTAATACCCCAACACATTATGACAGGCACCGGTGTACAGGTGAGTACATTATACCATAGTGCAATGTGACAGGCACCTGTGTACAGGTGGGTGCTTTATACCATAGTACATTGTGACAGACACCTGTGTACAGGTGGGTACTTTATACCACAGTACAATGTGACAGGCACCTGTGTACAGGTGGGTGCTTTATACCATAGTACATTGTGACAGACACCTGTGTACAGGTGGGTACTTTATACCACAGTACAATATGACAGGCACCTGTGTACAAATGGGTTCTTTATACCATAGTACATTGTGACAGGCACCTGTGTACAGGTGGGTACTTTATACCACAGTACAATGTGACAGGCAGCAGTGTACAGGTGGGTACTTTATACCACAGTACAATGTGACAGGCAGCAGTGTACAGGTGGGTACTTTATACCACAGTACAATGTGACAGACACCAGTGTACAGGTGGGTACTTTATACCACAGTACAATGTGACAGGCAGCAGTGTACAGGTTGGTACCTTATACTACATTACAGTATAAGTGCTCCCAGTGTATGGATGGGTATCAACAAATTTTTTCGCCCAGAGGTGTTACCAATTACCAATCTAACTTTTAATTATTACCCTAATATTTGAATCTCATCTTCCAGTATTTCATCGGGGTGGATGGGGGTTGCATTTCATTATGGCAACTTTTGAAACCTGTGTTATTTTTTTTTAAGGAAAATTGATATATAGAGACATGGGTTTTTTTTCTTTTGTATGAACCCATTTGCATTATCCTGCAATATTTGATTCAGCAATTTAATTCTTTGCGTATGCAAATGTTCAGAAATAATTTTCTTTGTCTTTTATTTTACAGCTATTTGATCATATCGCAGAATGTATCTACAAATTTATGAAGAACCACAATCTCCTTGATCAAAAGATCCCCCTGGGTTTTACTTTCTCCTTTCCCTGTAAACAGATGGGTTTGAACCACGCCGTTCTGACGCAGTGGACAAAAGGCTTCAAGTGTGAGGGAGTGGAAGGTGAAGACGTTGTCAGACTTCTACATGAGGCCATCAAAAGGAGAGGGGTACGTGTTTACAGAGGGTCAATTTATCAAAGTTATATTTTAAATGTGTGTGGTTTTTTAGTGTGTTAAAATATAGCACCAGATAGGTAAACGGCTATTTTTCTTAAATCAGAATTTGCCTAATGCATATATGTATTAAAATTCTCTGTAAACTCAATATTTTTGAGATTGAAAAAAAATTAAATCACTCATGGTTGCACCAAACTCGCCTTTATATAAATACAAGGTTTATATGTACATTTAGTAAGTACCAGAATTTGAAAAAGGAAAATGACATTCAATTTACAATACATGTATCTGATGTTGCAATTGAAAAACAGTGTTATAATGTTATTGAATTTAAGCTGTGTAGGTATTTTTATTTTGTTTTTTGTTCCCTGTCATTTGAAGGTATTTAGGTATTTCTATTTTTGTCCCTTATTTTGACAGGATTTAGATGTGGAATGTTTAGCTGTGATAAATGACACGGTGGGGGCTCTAATGTCCTGTGCCCACAGTGACAGAGAGTGTGCAATAGGACTTATTTTAGGTAAGTGTAACCCTCAACCCCTCACCCCCACCCACCCACCCACACACACACACACACACACACACACATAAAATTCTTTTGAAGAAACTTAAAATCATGCATTTGTCATGCCATTTTCAAATTTTTTTTCTGTCAAGGAGACACCATTTTTTAATGGGTTCCTGCAAGTGGGGAGAACATTCTTTCAAATATCCTGTAATTTTTATTGTATCACTAAATAAATGAATACCTTGCACTTTGACAAAACAGGAGAATGTGAAAAATGTTAGCAGTTAGCAGACTAGGAAATTCCATGGAGAGCTTTCCATGTAAATTGTTTTGTGATCTTTCAAGAATAACTGTAATGACAAAATTTAAGCACTAAAATAATATTGATGGTTATTCAGTACATTGTGATATTAGTCATAAAAAACATATGGATGTACATGTTAATATTTTATGGGAAATCAATATTTAAGAGCTATGTATCTTGTACATAATGCCTGTGTACTAGTACTGTAGCTGTAATTAGTCAAGGATTTTTCTATAGTGTTCCCTAAGAAACAATTCCAACATTGTCCTATAAGGGGCCAATATATGGCATTTGTTTTGATGTCCTTTATTTGTATGGAAGTGAGGTCCTGCTTCACCTTTATGCAGCTGTTCACATCAACCCACTCAAGAGTTGTGACGTACATTTACATCAAACGGTCCATTGTCGGAAAACATAAGCTACATTGATCCTTTGCTTGTGAACATCTGGTGTGTCATTAGTGATCTAGTATATGTAGGTTTAATTCGTGTACTGTACAGGCTGACCTTCAAACACGTTGTACCATTTCTGAATAAATGATTTCGTGGAAACAATAAATAAGGAAATAAGAAGGTAAATAAACAAGGTTTTTTTTGTATTTATTAAAGTAGACCCAAGATCAGCTGACTGGTGGTGACCTCTGTTGGTTGTGTTTGTTTACATCCTTATCATTTAATTTATTTTATTAATTTCCCGAAAGAGACAGGCTGACGAAGGAACATGAAATTACGCAGTTAATATTGATATATACGTATTAGTCTCGTGACTTCCTCACTGAAAATCTTTTCCTGAGAAATTGTTTTGAATTCATTTATGATACGTTTTACACTGTAATGATATCCTATCAGTATATGGACACAGATCAGAGATTCTAATCATCACTGGTGGTAGGTTTCAAAATATCCTCTCTCATGAAATCTATATCAGTTTTGCAATCTATTTTTATTGATAAAAGTTATTTAAAGAACAAGGAATAAGGAACCTTTATATACTATTAAAATGATTTTGCCAATTGAGAAAAATATATCTTGTAAAAATGTAAATATTGAATTTATTTCATTTTCAACATAGGAAACCAGTCATATACCCCTAGGAAATATGTTCAAAGACAAATTATTGACCAGAAAACACTGTTGCTTACTTGAATGGGGATAAAACAGGAATATAAAGTGTTCACTTAATTTATGGAGGCCTAATAAAATGTTAAGAATATTTGAATAGATGACAAATTGTTTAATTTACTGTAGATCTAAGGGCAGATCACTCTAACTGCATAAATATATCACAGAATGCAAACTCATTCCAAAATATAGAGGATCCTTAAGTTTTTAGCCCACCTGAGCTGAAAGCTCAAGTGAGCTTTTCTGATCACTCATTGTCCGTCGTCCATCCGTCTGTAAACTTTTCACATTTTCAACTTCTTCTAAAGAACCACTGGGCCAATTTTAACCAAACTTGGTACAAAGTATCCTTGGGTGAAGGGGAGTGTAAATTGTTAAAATAAAGGGCCAAGTCCCCTTACAAGGGGAGATAATCAAGAAAAGACAAAAATAGGGTGGGGTCATTAAAAAATCTTCTTCTCAAGAACCACTGGGCCAGAAATACTGAAACTTATATGGAAGCATCCTGGGGTAGTGTAAAATCTAAATTGTTCAAATCATGACCCCGGGGGGTAGGGCGGGGCCACAATAGGGAATCCAAGTTTTACATTGAAATATATAAGAAAAGTCTTTAAAAATCTTCCTCTCAAGAACCACTGGGCAGAAAAGCTGAAACTTATATGGAAGCATCCTTGGGTAGTGTAGATTATAAATTGTTCAAATCATGTCCCCCGGGGGTAGGGCGGGGCCACAATAGGGAATCCAAGTTTTACATTGAAATATGTAAGAAAAATCTTTAAAAATCTTCTTCTCAAGAACCACTGGGCCAGAAATACTGAAACTTATATGGAAGCATCCTGGGGTAGTGTAAAATCTAAATTGTTCAAATCATGACCCCTAGGGGTAGGGCGTACCACAATAGGGAATCCAAGTTTTACATTGAAATATATAAGAAAAATCTTTAAAAATCTTCTTCTCAAGAACCACTGGGCCAGAAATACTGAAACTTATATGGAAGCATCCTGGGGTAGTGTAAAATCTAAATTGTTCAAATCATGACCCCCGGGGGTAGGGCGGGGCCACAATAGGGAATCTAAGTTTTACATTGAAATAAATAGGAAAAATCTTAAAAAATCTTCTTCTCAAGAACCACTGGGCCAGAAATACTGAAACTTATATGGAAGCATCCTGGGGTAGTGTAAAATCTAAATTGTTCAAATCATGACCCCGGGGGGTAGGGCGGGGCCACAATAGGGAATCCAAGTTTTACATTGAAATATATAAGAAAAATCTTTAAAAATCTCCTTCTCAAGAACCACTGGGCCAGAAATACTGAAACTTATATGGAAGCATCCTGGGGTAGTGTAAAATCTAAATTGTTCAAATCATGACCCCCGGGGGTAGGGCGGGGCCACAATAGGGAATCCAAGTTTTACATTGAAATAAATAGGAAAAATCTTAAAAAATCTTCTTCTCAAGAACCACTGGGCCCGAAATACTGAAATCTATATGGAAGCATCCTGGGGTAGTGTAGAATATAAATTATTCAAATCATGACCCCCAAGGGTAGACTGGGGCCACAATAGGGAATCCATGTTTTACATTGAAATATATAAGAAAAATCTTTAAAAATCTTCTTCTCAAGAACCACTGGACCAATAAAGCTGAAACTTATTTGGAAGCATCCTGAGGTAGTGTAGATTCTAAATTGTTCAAATCATGACCCCCGGGGGTAGGGCAAGGCCACAATAGGTATATTAAAAGGGGGGAAATCTGGTAAAGAATAGCATGGCCAAAGTTACTCAGGTGAGCGATGTGGCCCATGGGTCTCTTGTTCCTTAGCAAGACACCTGTTAATGGCCCCCTTTCACAGAAATCATTGTTCACCATTAAAACAAAACAAACCCACAATCTTCTTTTTGCACTAATAAATTGTCGACATGATTAGCCTGAAGACCGGAGAGGGGAAAACACATACAGTGACTAATGTGCTTTAATTTTGATCAGATATCAGTGAATTCTCATCTTCCAAAGCCATTTAGGTTTTTAAACCTCAGCCTGTTGATTACACTGACTAGATTAGTTTGCTGTCATCTTTAATTTTTGTATACAACATCTGTTTTGTATCAGTAATTAGATTGTACTCTGTTGTTCCAGGTACGGGAACCAATGCCTGTTATATAGAGAAACTAGAGAATGTGGAATTATGGGATGGGGATGATAAAGAACCCAGACAGGTATATACACAAGATAAAAACTTATTTTATTACATTTATAATTAAATAAGTATTTAAAATACAAGTGCATGTACTTTTTAGGTTACATTTGATTATGCTGGAAAATTCTTGAAGCATTGATTTTAATATGTACAAGTTTATTAATTAAATCTATGGACTATTTTACTTGAATTTATTTAAGAAATAATGTATCATTTTTAAACATCTGTCGGGATATAAATACGGGTTGGTCACGACATCAAATTCCATAAAGCCTGAAGGGCTTTATGGTAAATTTGATGTTGTACCAACCTGTATTTATATCCAGATAGATGTTTAAAAATGATACATTATTACTTAAATTTACATAGATACGCATTGCTTTTAATAGTGTTATATAAAAGAGAACATTTGCAAATGTAAATATTATTTATTGAGGTTTGCTAGATCTGGTAACTATTTTAGCAGAATTTGCTACACTGGTAAATTATTTTTATTAATTACGGGCATACAAGATGTTATAAAAATTTTCAAATATCTGGCACTATAAGTTTATTGTTCACATTGAACAGGTAATGATCAATACAGAATGGGGAGCACTAGGAGATGATGGGTGTCTAGACTTCATCAAAACCGAATACGACAAACAAGTAGACAAACACTCCATCAACCCAGGCAGGCAAACGTAAGTCAGAGATCAAGGTCACACCTCTACAGTACTCTTAATTCTAATAAATTAGATGAACACTGTTTTTATTGATAACATTCACATTGTTCTACCTATCTAACAAATTGTTCCTGTGTGCTGTAAGATTAAATATCCCTAGATTTCTATGCATCCATCTTCATGTTTACAAAATTTTGAAATTAATTGTTTTGTTACACTTTATATATTTTTTTTCTTTCAGATATGAGAAAATGATCTCTGGTATGTACATGGGAGAAATTGTGAGACTCGCATTAGAGAAACTACGAAAGAGTGATCTTTTATTTAATGGAAAAGGATCTGAAGAATTATCCACCAGGGGGCGCTTTTACACCAAATATGTTTCAGAAATTGAAAGGTCAGTGTCAGGACATGATATGACAATGCAGAAAGTAAATAAGGTTATTTTTCTAATGTAATGTCTGTTAATATTTGGGGAATGATGTTTTTAGCTCACCTCAGCCAAAGGCTTAAGTGAGCTTTTATGATCAAAGTTTGATTTTCGTCTGTCTGTCTGTTTTAACTTTTCACATATTTGACATCTTGTCAAAAACTGCTGGGTAAATTTCAACCAAACTTGAGCAGAATATCTTTTCAAATTTTCTTAATAGGAATAGGGGAGCTAAAGCAAGTCATATAAATATACAAACATCCCCTTGAGACTGTAAGGTTGAGCATATACTTGGCTGAATTTCTATCAGCTAAATACACACATGACTGTTATCGATAAAAGTCTCAGTTTCAATTAATTTCAATTTAGATTGCTGAAATCATGGAATATCATGGCTAATATAAGAGGTTTCAATTATTTGTGTATTCATTTGTAGTGTCTGGTATCATGACTGAAAAATCCTATCACAATATATTGCAGTATTAAAATTTGTATTGCAATATATCACAATATTTAATTCATATTCTTTTTTTTCTCTTAAATGAAAACCCAAACACATGTCATGTGTTCTGGAGATGTGCTATCAACATAACCTGGCCATATGGTGCTGGCAAATGTAGCTGGCTGAGTTCGTTGTGCCACAAGAATTTTTAATAGTCTCGTTGCAAAAGTCAGATACAGCTTTAACTTGAAGTGGTTTCATGTAGCAGCTGTTCTCTAATTCCATCTCATTTTTCGCCATATTTTACTTGAACAAGTGCAAATAACCCTTTTTGTAACATTTTATAGGATATTGAACCTGAACTGGTATTCACAAAAAAAAATACCGTGATATGTATTGTGAACAATGAAATCTGGATTCACCAGTTCACCGGTAATATTGCACAGCATTATTCATTTATTAGAAAGGTTAGGTGACTCAGGTGAACATTGTGGAGCTTTAACCTATTGCTTTTTACCAAGCTAATTCAGTTATTGAAGATATGTGCACCTTTCTGTTTGATGAATTTCAGTGATGTAGATGATCACTTTAAGAACACCAAACAAGTGTTTGACGAGTTAGGACTAGAGAAATATTCTGATGAAGACTGTAGAATTGCACAGTACGTCTGTTCTCTAGTGTCAACAAGGGCAGCCTTCCTAGCATCTGCTGGTACGTACACACATATCAGGACCCTAGTCACAAAGGAATCGTGCAATATACTACATGTGTATAGACACAGTACAGTGAAATTTAATCCAGACACTGTATAATAAAGTTTTTTTTAAATCCATTTTTCCATATCAGAAAATAACATTGACCAATCTCCAGGGCTAAACAAACATTTGATTGATTGTGAGTCCAGTTCAATTTGTGATCAGACAAGCCAATCTCCAAAACACTTGTCCGATGGGGCAAGAAATTTTTTTTCCCTACCATTATGGAGTAGTGTGAATAAATCTTCACAAACTAATACATAATTTAACAATCCTAAGGGGTCAGCTATACTTCACAGAATATTGATAATTACAGGACAAATGCGAGATTCTAAATATTTTTATGTTTATTATTTAACAATTATATATAAGTCAGTAATTTTATTCATAGCTACTTCAGTCATGATTATAAAGTTCTACAATTCTCTTTACATATGTTCAGAATCGGTCAAGTAAAAAATGCATCTGAACAAGTATCATGATCAAGTAACAATTGTTGGCAATTTGTGTGATAGACAAGTTATCATTTTTATCATGTTGAGCCCTGGTGTCACAATTCATCAGTCACATGCACATGTTTACTCTGAAGCCAAGTGAAGATTTTAACAGAATGCTACATGTAGTTTTACACAAATTTTATTGTAAATTATTTACAATAAAATATATTTCATATATTTGCTAGAGAGACACTTTGCTAATTTCAGTAGATCTAACTGATTTAATACATCCCAGTATAAGTTTAAATTTCTTTTGTAGGTGTTGCTACTCTTTTGAACAAAATGGGTCGACAGGATGTAACCGTGGCTGTCGATGGTTCCTTGTATCGCTTCCATCCTCATTTCCATGATCTCATGGTAGAAAAGATTGAGCAACTCGTCGATCCAGGAATCAAGGTATTACAAGTAGATAAACTCATTTTAAACAAAGAAAATATAGTGTTAATTTCAACGGTGAGGAAAAATTCTTTGTCGGACGAAAGCATACATAATATTCCTAAACCAACATATTTTGATACAGGAAATAAAATCCAGTAAAAGTGTAACTTTTTGATTTGGATTTATTTATCTGTTTTCTGTTGAATTGTAGTTCAAACTGATGTTGTCACATGATGGAAGTGGAAAAGGGGCAGCCATTGTAACAGCTGTGGCTAAGAGACTACGAGAAGCCAGTAAAAGCAGTATAGGAGAAAATGAAATAGAAAACTGAACATTTCATCTCTGTTACCCTTGCAATACTTAAAATACAAACCAAAATCAAACATTACAGGTTTCCATGGTAGCATTTTTTCCTGCGAATTGATCGTAGGAAATGGAACGCTTCCCATCATTCTAAATCTCAAATGACCCTGGTCATGTCAAGAAGTTTTGTCAAAGGGTAGACTCGCTTTCATAATTAGAATTATAAGGTACCCATGCAAGGCAATTATTTTCTGGAACTGTAAAGATAAATTTTTTATAGAAAAATCAGCGAATTTTTATATTAGCTGGTAGTGTTAGCTATTTAATGGGGATATGTTCTGTGCTTTCAGATCTCAGCTGTTATGCAAAAAATGAAATACAGTTGCTTGTATGAGCAGTGTACTTAAATCGGGATTAAGAAAAGCATAATATGATTTGCTTTAGTTTGTGAACAGCTAAACCAAACTTTTTTTTCCAAATGGAAGTGTTTACAGTATGTTTTTACTTTCAACCACAATTCTGTGTTATTTATATTTTTTATGCCATCTTTTTGTTCAACCATTGCTATACATGTATTTCATGATTTTGAAAAAAAAAATTATAGATTTACACTTGCTGCTTTTAGTTAGATTACAATATTATTTGTACTAGATTAAAAAAGGGACACATGCTTATCACAAATGGAGAGATAAAGAAAATGTCCTGTGGAAAAAAACAAAACAAAAAAAAACACAAGTGTTTGCTACATGTACGTGACATTTGTATTAGAATTATAGAAAGGAACTAGCTTTCTACTCAGTCTGAACTTGAGCCTACTAGGTTAGAAGTCAAGGAAAGTCTTACGACTCAATGCCATTCAACTCATTCAGTCTTTGTTGACACTATTTTTATGTGTTAAATATTTCATGTCATGTCTGTGCTTCTAAATTAATGCATATAAAATTAGAAAATGATGTTTTTTCTTTTTGTTTTTAAATTTTTGGCCAGAGTGCTTTCGTTTCTTCCATAACTGGTGTGCTTTTACTGTAAATATTAATAGTAATCTGAGAGGGTGTCCTGGTGTTATTTAGCTGTTATGACACCATTTATTGGTCCATTGTACTGTTTTCAACCCACAGCCTTCTACAAAAATTAGGACTTTATCTTCATTTGGGGCATTCGATATTGTAAAGTTTTTTATTATGAAAAAAAAAAAGATGTCTGTACAGATTTGAAATCTGTTCATTTCTCAAAAGAACAAAATATAATCAATGAAATCGATTTTTTTCTTTACCAAACTTTCATGAGACTTCAACAATTTCAAATACTATATTTTTACAAACTGTTAAATATATGTGATGTATGATATATTTTATCTATGATTTTGTTAATTGCCCCCCTTTCCAGGTTTCTAAGACAGAACTGTTACTGATTAATTTTCACTTCTTCATGCCTCCTGTGTGTTCATTGGTTCAAGTCATCTGATGTCTATGGTGGCTTATTGTTAATTTAACATAAAGCATTTTGAATAAACAGAAATATTGAATCTCAACATGCTTATTTTTTGACACACCATATATCTTTGAGGCTTTGCCTCATTTAAATGGTAAGGTTTTGGTGGGAAGTATATACACACTACTTCATTGGAGCCTTAAGTTACAGATATGAAAGATGGGGTGTATGATACTATATGTACCATGCAAAGACTTAGTATAGATTCACCATTTGAAGGAAGCATGACTTGAAGTAATCAGGTGCATAGCCAGTGAAGTACATACATAGAACTGGGGCCACTTTGAGGCTTCCAGTGGGTCCAAGGCTAACCCATCAAAGCTTTCAAGTTTTACCAAATATTTCATTGACTTTCCTGAAATTTTTTTTTAAAAATCATGCCATTTCAGTTTTCTTTTGAAAAAAAGAATTTGTCATCATTGTTGTCATGAACTTCAGATTCTCATCTTCTTCTCCAGAACCTCTGGGCCAATTTCAACCAAATTAGCACAGAGTATTCTTGGGTATAAAGAGGATTCAAATTTGTTCAAATGAAGGGCCACATCCTCTTCCAAGGAGAGATAATGAAGAAATAGTGAAAATTGGATGGGGTCATTTAAAAATTTTCTCCTCAAGAACCACTGGGCAAGAAAAGATGAGACTTATGTGAGAGCTTCCTGAAATGGCATAGATTAGAATTGTGGGGCCACTATAGGTGATCAAAGTTTTACATGGAACTACATGGGAAAAATCTTAAAATCTCAAGAACAGCAAAACCATGATTAGTTGTGCATATGGAAGCATCCTTAGGTAATGTAGATTTAAGTTTGTTCAAATCATGACCCTCTGGGATTAAGGAGGGGCAACAAAAGGCAATCAAAGATTTACATAGGAATATATAGGAAAAATCTATAAAAATCTTTCAATGAAGAACAACAAAACCATGATTAGTGAGAGAGGGGCATCCACAGCTAGTTCAAAGGATGTATTCGTTATAACAAAAGATTTGACCTATAGGAGAGAACAATTTTCCGGAAAAAGTCACATTTAAAAATCTATGTTCTTTAGTTGTTTTCTATCGTATATTTGTCTAAATTTTTCAAATTTGCAATTTGAACCTAAATTTTTTTATTTGCAACTTTGAAATTAACCTCCAAAGTTGATCAAAACAGTATTTTGTCCATTAAAGCACTAATTTTTGCGTGAATTTTGGCATAGAAGTCCTTCAGGGCAGGCTTGCCCCTAAATTAAATTGTGAAATTTTGATAGATTTTGATCTAAAGAATGATTTAAAAGAAGATTTTTTTAGGGGCACCCCTGCCCTAGGATCGAAATTCGTAAAAAACCTACAAAAAATGCGAAAACATATTTCTATCATACTGGTTTATATCTATGACACATATCTGCATGGTCATTATAGCTCCGAAAGGTAGACTTCAGACTCTCACCATGAACATTTTTAGTGTCCTGGTTCGAATCCACCTGTTGGCATACTTTTATTTTTTCAAATTTTCACCTGTTTAAACACGAATTTATTATTTTTTTTTATGCAGGCTTTTGCATTTTACTTCTATTTTCTTCATTAAATGTATGTTTTCTGTTGAGATAAAAGACATTCATGGAAATGCAGATCATAAATTCTCTTTAACTAAACGCAATCAACCGGAACTATACCTCAGTGTAAGCACACTTTGTTCGAGGACACGAATCATTCACTTTGTGTTACCCGATACTGCAGATGTCACGAAAAAAAAATCATGCCGATCAAAAATTCCTGCGTTTGTCTTTCGAGAACATCTCTGGGTAATAGTACTGTTGTGCCAGTGGGAGAGATACTGCGCTATGCAGAGTAGATGCAGTTCATTTTCTCGGGAAAATTGTGTGCATTGGCGACATGTTATGCCAAAAATGCAGGAGGAAGGTTTACAGATTAGAAAAGAATGTGGTAAGACCAGTTAAGGTTTTATGTCCCGTTGCCATTACCTAGGCATCAAGTAAGGACCCTCATACAAAGGATGTATCTGTAAATACCGAGGTAGGGTCATATGAACACACAGTTGACTACAACTAAAGCGATACATAAGAAACGAGAAACTACACGCATGTGGCCTAAAGTAAGCGACCGGAACGGATATCGATAAGCTTTTTCTAAAAACTGAAACCAGTATCGGCCCTATAGGTCAACACATATATTTACCTAGAAGTGATCCTTTGTACAAATCAAGACCCTTGGGGGTAGGGTGGGGCTACAATGAAGGATTAAAATTATACAATGAAATATGTAGGAAAAATCTTCTCAAGAACAGCAAGGCCATGATAAGTCATATTTATATGGAAGCATCCTCAGGTAGTATAGACTCAAATAATAACACTTTGGGGTAGGGTGAGGCCAAAGTATTGATATTAATTTTACATACAGAAAAAAACGGCTGATAAGGAACAGAAGGGCCGAAAGTGAAGAGGGTGAGCGTTGTGGCCCATAGGCCTCTTGTCAACGTGAAGTTAACACTTTCATGGAGACTTATTTCATGGACAAATGCAACAAGATTCCAAAAGTGGGCCTAGTTATATTTTTCTCATCCTTGTTTAAAGGTAATGTTGAAAACAATGCAAGTAAATCAAAAATGGTTCCACATGCAACTTTTTGAGCAAAAGCTCAAGAGAACTTTTCTAATTGATAGTCTGTTGCTGACTTACTCATGTAAACTTTTCACATTGTTATCCTCTTCTCCAGAACCACTCGGCCAATTTAACCAAACTTAGCACAGAGTATAACGGAAATTGTTGACTTTTTTTTCAGAAAAAACAAAATCGTAATACGTGTGAAACGAGAGTATAAAAGTATAATTATTTATTTTCCATTGCTTTCATTGCTTTATTTTGGAGACCATTCCTTTTCTCCCTTAATAACGCTTTCATCAGAGGGCACTCTGCGCAACCTTCACTTGCACATGTTTATTGTCTTAAAATAGTTCAGGAAAATTAAAAAAAAAAAAAGATTGTTATTTGATTGACTTCGTAAAAACTGTTTTAGACAAAATTCTAAATACATGCTTAATCATAAGAAACTTTATAATGATGAAGAAGACAAATCGCTAAATTCATTTAATAAAAAAAAAATGACTGACCAGTTTTTCTGATGCTTCGATAACTAGGATCGTTAAAAAACTTGCACTTATCATGCTTATCTAAAAATTCAGAGGTGGACCCCCCCCTTTTTTAAGAGAAAGAAAGAATATATGATTATGCCATATACTAGTTTCACACTTTTGTTGTTTGTTTATTAGATGATACGGTACACTTTTTTCATAACGCATAAACTAAATTAGATGCTAAAACTTGTAAAAAAGAAATTGGAAATTGCATAAATTGATATGAAGTATGCAATCGCCCCCTCCCCCAATTATGCACTGCCTGGGACCCGCTAGGGTCAAACTCCTCGCCATCTAAAAGCACCCCCTAACGCAAAATCCTGGAAGCGTCTGTAATAAAAAGGTCCGTAGGAAGCAATTTCAGTTTTTTTTTGGGGGGGGGCGGGGGGGGGGGGCACAACCATACATTTTTCAGTTGACAGATGAGAGGGCACTACCAAAAATTTCCTGACAAGCAAGAAAAAAAAGGTCATTAACTACCAAAAATTCCTTGACAAGCAAAAAAAAAAAAAAAAAAAAAAAAAGGGGTCATCAGACGTTTTTATTGAGGGGGCACAAGATATAGTACCAATGTTTACTATAGTAATCTATATATCGGCAAAATTATTGGGGGGGGGGGGCACGGTTCCTACGGCCATAGAAAGACAGTATAGAGTTTCCGGCAGGTTTGTATCGTAATCAAATTCTTTTATATGCCATATTAATAGGGAATTTGAAATAAACAGAATACATGTAAGATATTCTTTACATTGGCTTTTGTTGATTTTTTATTTGTATTTAAAAACTTTATTTTGATTTAAAATTTTTTTTACTAAAAATAAGTTTTCCTACGTTTTGTTGATTACAAGTTAAAAAAAAAAAGAAACGTTGGGCGAATTTTAACTGACCACAATGGTCGGCATTTAATGAACACAACATGATGGATAAAACAAATAATATAGTATCACAAAAACATGTTTTCCACTGGCTGACTCCCGTAACCTTTTTTTTTTAAAACTAACATTGAAATGCATTTGGTTTGAGATTAATTTGTAACCCCCACGTGTTTATGTTGACATTGTGTATACGGAATCTCTCTGGACTTTTCCTCTTAATATGTCATAAAAGGAGAGGACACTTTCGCGCCACATGGTGATCTGCACGAGAAAATCATTCGAACAAGAAGCAGTTCTGTCGCATTAGGCCACAGTACACGGAAAGGGGAAGGCGTGCAATAGAACGAAAAAAATGGCAGACCAAGCAAAGGAGTATGTGTGGGGTAAGTTGTAGTTATAGTTTTGAGGATTTCCAATGTAAATTTCCTTCGAAGTTAACAGACGACTATTTTGCATCGATGAGTCATACATGGTTGATGAATTTGTTTGAGAAATTATATACAGCTGATATAATTGCCCCCTGATGCATTAATGAGTATTTGTGTATAAACTTTATTTTGTATATAAAGGAAAAGACATTTTAGAATGTGGAACATTTTAAAGGGATTTAGTGGTACTTGACTTCATCAGTTGGGAATGACTGAATGAAACAGAATTTATTTCATTTGCAGCATGCGAACTAAGCAAGGAAAAGCCTACTTTTGTTTTCTCATTCAAAGAAGAGGATGAAGATGAAGACTATCTCATTCACACGTTATTTCTTAAAACTGTAAGTCACACTCATTTGTGTATATAGAATACTCAATATTTATCAAGAAATAAATATTTGTTATTTACAACCAACATATGTGATGTGCTGTTTGTATAACAGGCAGTGCTAGGGATTTCAGCAGTAGAAAATGAAAGAAACCTCATACAAATGGAAACAAAAGACTCTTACAGAAAAGATCTCAAGGCCCCCATAGCATCATTAACCCGAGGAAAATCAGACATGGTATGTGTTAATCTTTGTGATTTCAGAGAAGATGATTCTATGAAACTCACCCTTTTTTCCAGAATTCCTATCATGAATTTGAGCATGTGCATTTGCTGGAGAGTGCTAGCAACAAAGCCTCTACTTATTTTTAGCCCACCTTTGCCAAAGGCTCGTATTAGCTTTTCTGAAATTTGTCCATTATATCAGAGTTGTGGTCATCTTTAGCTTTTTTATTTCATCTTCTCCAGAACCACTGGGGCTTTTTTCATCCAAACTTGCCACAAAACATCCTTGGGTGAAGGAATTCAAGTTTAATCAAATGAGGGGTCATGCTCTCATGTGGGGTCATTTAAAAACCTTTTTCTCATGAACAACGGGGGCTATTTTCATCCAAACTTGCCATAAAACATCCTTGGGTAAAGGGATTCAAGTTTAATCAAATGAGGGGTCATGCCCTCTTTCAAGGTAGATAATTAAAAAATGCTGAAAATTGGGTCGTGCCATTTAAAAACATTCTTCTCAATAACCACTATTCCATAAAGATGAAACTTATGTGGAAGCTTCCTGATATAGTGTAGATTCAAGTTTGTTCAAATCATGGCCCCTGGGGTAAGGTGGGGCATCATCATTTTTTCCCCCTAAATAACTGGTGCTGATAAACAGTACCAGTCTTGGTATTACCAAAAAAAAAATGTAAATTTTTCCATATTTTTAAACTTAAAAAATCTCAATTCAACTGCCAAGTAATTAATATACCACTATGACATCGTAATTTGCTTAGTATGAAATGTTTAAATTAATAAAAAAAATTTCATTTCTTACTTAAAAGTAATATAAGGATTACATTCTAAAATCACATTGTTCAATTAAAAATATTGAAAGAACAAGGTGTCGTTAAAAAATATGTTTCAAAAATATTGGTATGGTAATCATACCATTTCATCCTAAATGGTATCCAACCCTAGGATTAATAGTTACTAATTTTAGAATAAATTTCATTTGTTGAAATGATAGCAAATTCCAAATTTATTATATTTTGACACTATTGGTATCGGTACCATTCCAGTCTTTCAAATTTGTGAAATTCATGGCCCATGGTTGAGGGGTACTGGTATTAGAACAGGTCTGTATTGATCACATAGTGAAAATGCATTATTTTAATCATTTTATGAAAACACATTATTTAAAATCTCTGTTCCTGGGTATTAAGCAGAGAAATGAAGTATATGATGAGCTAGGGTGATTTTTTTCCAAATATGTTCAACTTGATTTTTAAATGGTTTTTAGTGTGCCCTAGATTTAAGTTTTGGTGAGGAGGTGACATTTCGACTAGTGGAGGGAACAGGTCCTGTTTTTCTCTCAGCTCAGGAAATTGTGGGTAAGTGATGACCAGCCTACATGCATTATTGCACCATTTTCTTTTTTGTGAACATTATTTTTTTCAGAAAATAGGACAAAATATATTGGAAAAGTGAGGATAAGGAAGAATAAGTCTTCAGACTTAAAGGTTTTCACGTCTGAAAATTTCAGCATTTAGCTGTAGAAGTTTTTGCATTTTTTTTTACCCCACTTTTACTGAAAGGGGGGTATATTGATTTTGATCTGTCTGTCTGTCATTCTGTCTGTGTGTAATGCTTTATTTCGGGGTGATATCTCAAAAAAGCTCTTAGATCTAGCTTTCACTGAAAGTGGGGGATATTAATTTTTGTCTGTTTGTCTGTATAGCTGTCTGTGTGTAACACTTTATATCAGGAAGATATCTCAAAAAGTCTTTGAGCTTTAATTTGCAATTAAATTTTATACCACAATTCCTTATGGCCTAAAAAAGACCCATTTTAATTTTGAGGTCAAAGGTCAAGGTCAGAAATTCATACATTCTGTCTCTGAGGAACTCTTGAGTTTCCAAACAACAGCTGGAAAAGCCTTTGAGCTTTTGCAATGAAATTTTCTAACTCCCTATGGCCTAAGAAGACCCCTATTGATTTTGAGGTCAAAGGTCAGGGTCAGAAATTCATACCTTGGAAAAAAGTTCCCTGATGATAAGGCCATAAAAAATTAATAGTTTCTCAGGCCAAAAATTTCAAAATTCAATGCGGCAGGCAGATTCTTTTTTTTTTTTTTTTTTTTTTTGAAGCAGGTGTTATACCTTTTTTCATGTCGGTTGTTCAACAAAATGTTGATATCAACTGATTCTTACTTTTTTTGTTCTCTTACACCAATTCCAATATGTATTCTACTTTAAATAATGTTATTCCAAACCAAGTTAATTCATAAAATCCGTATTAACAAGAAATGTATTGTTTATCTAATAAAAAACGTTCATCTATTAGCATATATGAAAATGGGAATAACTCAATTTCCTTTTTTTAACTTGGAAAAATGAAAATTGAGTTATTTCCCTTTTCAATATATCAATAAGATTGATCGATGCGGCAGTGTTTGACCTGATGCGGCGGTGCCTGAGAAACTATTCATTAATTTTTTTTGGCCTAACATAGTTTTCTTTGAGCCTTTTCAATGAAAATTTATTTGGTAACTCTTTAAGTCTTAAAGAAGACCCCTTTTGAATTTGAGGTCAAAAAGTCAAAGATCAGGGTCAGAAATTCATTTGATAAATATACTTTTTTCCAAGCAGGATTAATTTATGCTATGTACGAGGTCACAAACTTTCCACAGATATTTGTTACAACATGCATTTAAGACATACATTGGCAATCTAAGAAATCCGCATAATTTTTTACCCTTAGATTGGACAGAAATTTTTATTTTGGGGAATTTGACCCCATGGAAAAAAAAGTACTTTTACAGTATTCTATGTGTAACACTTTCATTTCCAATGATATTTTAAAAAGGATTTGAGATTTTGCAATGACATTTTATATTACAACTCCCTGTGATATAAAGAAAACCCTATACATTTTGAGGTCAAGAGGTCAAAAGTCAAGGTCAAAAATTCATACATTGCAAAAAATAATAGCTTTAGTTTTCTTTGAGCTTTTGCAATGAAATTTTACATCATAATTCCCAATGACTTAAAAAAAGATCCCTGTGATTTTGAAGCCAAAAGGTCTAGGTCAAAATTCATATCTTGCATAAAATGGTTTCCTGATAATAACTTTCATTCTCTTTGAGGTTTTGCAATGACATTTTCTACCGTTAATACAACTTGGAAAAAAAACCTATTGATTATGAGGTCAACAGATCAAAGAGCAAGGTCCGATATTCGTATATTGCATACATATTTTTCAGATGATAACTTTAGTTGTTAGCTTTTGCAGTGAGGCTTAAGGTCATGAATTTCTTTGACTTAAAATAGACCCCTACTGATTTAAAGACCAAAAGCTGACAGGTCAAGGTTGACCTTTTTTTTCTTTCTCCATCTGCATTCCTTTCATATCTTCCACCCTTTTCTTTTTGTCCCCCGCTTTCACTGAAAGTGGGGGATATTAATTTGGGTCTGTCTGTCCGTCCATCCGTCTGTCTGTATTTCAGTCTGTCTGTAACACTTTTGTTTCCGCACGATATCTCAAGAACTAGGGATGGGTATTGCCAAAAAAATTTGTATCGTGATATATCACGATTTTTTCCCAAAATATTGCGATAAAATCGGGTATTTTTACCAGGAATTTTTACATCATTTTCAAATGAATTTCCATAATTTTTCTTACAAATACACTGCAAAACTATAACTTTACTTTCTTCGATTTTTATTTTATGTAATATAAAGCATGTTTGGATGCCGTAATTTAACTTTATTCAACATTTTTTATACTTTCTGTAATTTCTATTTAATAGTTCGAACAAATAAACATGATAAATTAGTAAGTTCTAGAATTAATAATTATGTACCAAATACCGGTATTTTAGTCTCCGTATCACGATACGTATCACTCAATAAAAAATCATGATATACCGGTATACCGATAAAATCGTGCATCCCTATCGAGAACCCTTTGAGCTTTTGCAATGAAATTTTGCATAGCAACTCCCTATGGCGAAAAGGAGAACCCTATTGATTTTGAGGTCAAAAGGTCAAAGATCAAGGTCATAAATTCATAAATTCTGTCTGTTTTAACACTTTTGTTTCCACGCAATATCTCGAGAATCCTTTGAGCTTTTGCAATGAAATTTTACATATCAACTCCCTGTGGCCTAAGGAAGACCCCTATTGATTTTGAGGTCAAAAGATCAAAGTTCAAGGTCGTAAATTCATAAATTCCATCTGTGTGTAACACTTTCGTTTCTGGGCGATATCTCAAGAAGCATTTGAGCTTTTGCAATGAAATTTTATACCATAACTCCCCTATGGCCTCTCTCACCCCTCTCAAAGTGTCCCGCCCTGTTTTTTTTCTCAAATTCCCTGAATTAGTTTGTTGCTTTGGTAGTTGTATAATTATTGCTCTTTTTAAGTTCACAAGCTAATTCAGAGAATTTTGTGTCCCCCGCTTAGGGAAAAAAAAGAAGAGCATGCGCAATTTGTGGGGGGGTGGTCGGACTCCCCCCCCCCCCCCCCCCTTGATTTGTAGAATTATTAAATATATACATGTATATTGAAGGAAATAAAAAATGCCAATAAGGATATAAAGATTTGATTGCATAAACTTTAATATGTGTATAGAAGATTCTTTTTGTATAGGTACGTAGCAACAGCAGGCCCCCCTTTTTTCCAAAGACTTTTTTTTACTATTTGAAATGTTAATTGAAAGGCCAGTTCCCCCCCCCCCCCCCCCACTTTTGTATGGATAAAATTTGGTACTGAAAGAAGTTGGAAACTTGAACCATTGGATGTCTCCAATTTTTTTCTTGGTTCCATTGTGGTCGTGAAAATGAAGTTTGGCTTTATAACCAATTGTATCAATTTATAAATTCCTTCTATTTTTGGTCCAATGTAGAAAAAAAATCAAAAACATAACTTTTTTTGCCAACCTGAGCTAATAGCTCAAGTGAGCTTTTCTAATCAAAATTTGTCTGTTATATGTTGTAATCGGTATCTTCATTGTTGTCTTAATCTTTTTAGCTCATCTCAACGAAGTTGGGTGAAGCTTATGTAATACCCTCGGCCTGGGCATTGCAGGTTAAAGTTTTTGGAGAAGATTTCTTTTCAAGTACTTTTATGCCCCAAATTAATCAGAGATGCATGGACTATGCTTCTAGTATGTTTCATGGTACCAGTTAAGGTTTCAGATGCTGCAATTTCAGCTAAAAAATGACAAGGTTAATGTTTTTGGAGCAGGTCTCATTTCCAAGTACCTGTAAGTCCTATGTTGACTAAACTTGCATGGATGATACATCTAGGGATGCACATTACCAGGCTTGCTTGGGATGCTGGATCTACCTATATTTTCTGGATGAGTGACCAGGTTTAAGTTTTTGGAGCAGGTTCTATTAGCCCTATGTAGACCAAACTTGCAAGAATGATACATCTAAGAATGCACACTACTGGACTTGCTTCGGAAGCTGAATTTGACCTACAATTTTCTTCATGAGTGACGAGGTTAAAGTTTTTGAAACAGGTTCATTCTAAAGTGACTATAAGCCCTTATGCTAACCAACTTTGCACTGAAGATACATTTATTGATGAACACTACCCAGAGGTGCTTCAGATGCTGGGTTTTACCTTTTTCCAGATGAGTGACCAGGTTAAAGTTTTTGAAGCAGACTCATTCCAGTGTAACTTCAAGCCCTACCTAGACCAAACTTGCTTCAGATGCTTGATTTGACTTTCATTTCCTGGATGAGTGACTAGTTTAAAGTTTTTGGAACAAGTCCATTCCCAAGTAACTGCAAGCCCTATTAGACCAAAATTGCATAAATGTTGCATGTAAGGATGTACACTACTAGATTGTTTAGTGTGGGACTTTGCCTAACTTAAAGATAACTTCGTTGAGGTGGGCTCTGTAATCTTTGATTACCTATGTTTCTAGATGTATGGAAGTGCCAAATGTTCAACAGTTTTTTTTTCATTTCTTGAATTTAATCAGAATACCCAGAAGATGCAAATATGAGTCAAGATGAAGACACAGAAGATTACACAGAGACAGAGGAAGAAGACCTGAAAGAAACAGAAGAGGAGGAATCACCAAAGAAAGGGGCAAAGAGCAAGAAGAGGAAGGCATCCACAGGGAAAGCAAAGGGTAAAGCTAAGGTGAGCTACAGTGGGATCAAACTGTACAGACACAATTCCAGAGTTAGATCTGGTCACCTTGTCATAATCGGGTTGTTTTTATCACTTCAGAAGAAAAAGATGGAAGAGTCAGAAAGTGAAGAAGAGGAGGTGAATATTGTTTTTATTTTGGCTTTTCCCTTTGAAATTGCATAATAATCGTAATTGCATGTCTTCCCTGAATTTGTAAGTGATATTCAAGGTGATCATCTACTCTTCAAATTGTGTCTGATTATCTGTATTGTATTATTTGCTGGATAAGATTTAAGTGGTAATTCCATCTGTCTTTTGATATGGACAGTGTGAATTTTAAACCTTTTTTTGTCAGTCTGAGGATGAAGATGAGGAGATGGAGAGTGAAGAGGAGGAGGAGGAAGAGGAAGAAGATGAAGAGGAGGAAGTCAGCAGTCCAGAAAAAAAGTATAATATCTCTCTTTTATGCAGACAATAGATATGATGCAGCCTCTTGGCTGAATTAAAACAATCTTTCTGGTAGATTTTCATAATGTTATAAGCTATAAAAACAATTAGATGTAAGGAGAATGATTTTCAGAAATGGTAACACCAACTTTTAATTACTTCATCAGTATTGTATGTCAGTCGTAATATTGTAGATCGAATCAGAATTGGAACTAGTTAAAGAAACTACTAGATTACTGTGATAAAAATCCCTGGTAGAGTTGTCTTTCTTTCTTTATCATTTAAAATTTGATTACCTTTTGCAGGAAAAGCTCCAAAAAAGACTCTGCTAAGGTAGGTGCTTACACCATTTTGCTTATAAGAGAACTGACATTTTATTTATTGTATTTCATGTGTGAAAGGACAAAACAGGGCAAGATTCCTATTTAGATCCTAGCTGGTTAAAGTTTGGGGTGTCTTTTAGAACAATACAGTTGTTCAAATTGAAAAAAAAAAACATAGCACAAGCTTGCCTATCTTCAAAATTTATATATTTCAGGCACTAGTATCATGCATCATCTTGTGTATGAAAATTGCAGGTAGGCAAGCTCGTGCTCTGTTTCCCAAATTTGAAAAATCTCAAATTTGACAAAATTCCATCCGAAAAAGGGAAATTTAATAAACAGTTTTACTTTATTGTCCTCTTGTGACCTCTCTGCATGCTTTGAGTAAAATATTAATGCCACTTTTAAAACAATCATTATTTAAGGTTCTTAATTGCAAACTATCACACTTTTAACTTGATTTATATATTAAATAAAGGGCCAGATTTGGCTCTTACCATATTTTGTTCTTTGACTGTATAATGAGATCATAGTCACCTGCAGCATTACTTGAAATATTGTATAACACAGTTATGCAGATCAAGGTCCTATTTATTTACGACAGATTTATGCAAAGTAAGTTTTATAATGAATTTATCTTGGACTTTTTTAATGCTGATTTATGGGGCTAGAGAATCTTGTGATGATCATCACTAAATTATGAACAATTTTATTTTCAAACCAAATGATCAAAGAGTAAAAATTAATTTATATTTGCTGTGGGCTCACAGTTTTAATCTTGACTTTAAATTTTTGAACTTTAGAGAGAAAGCAAACATGCTGAAGGTCATGTTAGAATTTAGTAGTTTTGTAGACAAAAATTTGTCTGCAGATAAATAAAGGTGATTTAATGAAGGACCTTTTTATAAACTTTATGCTGTTCTTGACTTGATCATATGTTTGTAGCAATAATTAAAATTCAATTCTCAGTAAAACTTTAAGCTAATCTCAGCTATTATGAGATTTATGCAATATCCTTAACCCACTGTTGGCATTCCAGATAAAATTCGGAGCACTCCTATGATCTATCCCAATTAAGTAAACTCTAGGTGCATGGACAATACTTTTTAGATGGTCATCTATTAAGAATGTGTGCACACACAGATGTTAGTGGTATAGTTGCCAACTCACCCGATTTCTTTGGGTTACACCCAATTTTTCGACCCTTATTCCGATTATTTTTCATTACATGGCGGGTCATGCTTTTCACCCGATTTTTGCTGAACACCCCAAAAATCTCCCGATTTCCGGATTTGGTTAAAAAATTAGGTTGCACTTTTAACTTCCAGTTACAACCCAAGCTTGGATATACATAAACAATGTCGATGGCTATGTTCAGTAGGCCATGTACCAGTAAATTATCAGTGCAGGTGTAAACAATTACCTGAGAGTTGTTTTGACAAATCAAAGTTTGAAGTCAATTTAAAATGGCTTCTGATAGAACAAGATCGTTATCAGAGCCAACAGGAACAAATTGAACAAAGAAAAAGAGAAATAATATTTATGTACATATAAAGGAATCTTGGAAAACAACTTTCATTAGATAAAATAAAGAGTTTGAAGATAGTGTAGGCATAACTGTAAATTTAATAGCACTTGTTAATTAAATTAATTCGGGAGAGGAAAAAATAACTTCAAAATCAAAATTGGAATACTTTTAAATTTAGCACTAACTTTCCATGTGCTTCAAATCAGCAATGCAGATTCTGAAAAGACTTTCCTTTAAAAAAAAATACACACACTTAATTCAGGTCAATACTGAATAATGAAACCTTCAATGCTCTTTTAACGTGTAAATTTAATCAATATATATTAATTTTTTGTCATTGTAAGTTAAGGCCTCATTTTAATAAAATAATTCTCAATACACAAATGCTTATATATACATATATATTTAATTTAATCATGGTAAATGTGTCGTGAATGTTGTCACGCTTTATGACCAGATTTTTTACTTTCCAAGTCTGGTCATGACCAGATTTTTACATGTTGGAGGTTGGCAAGTATGGTTAGTGGAAAAAATGCTACGTCTGTACCATATTTTTATTCAGGCAGAACTTTTAAAAGTTTCTGGAGTTGCTGCATTACCAAGTATAAATGCATTGCTTACACACCTGATCCTAGAATGGATCAAGGATACATATAGTAATCAGTTGAGAAAAGTCAGAACAAAGAATAAAATACAGACAGACATACAGGCACACTGTACAGAAAAAAATTCCTCAACCCTCTACTCAAAAGAGCTAAAAATATTATACTGAAGTACAAAGAGAAAAACAATTAACAGAAAAATAAAGAATATGAAGCAAAATAATCACCAAACATGGCAATTTGATCAATAAGTGGGGTTATATTTAATTCATAAACTATCTTTGATAAGAATATTTGCATGCTGCTTAAAGAAGCAAAATTTCAAGAGAATTTTAAGCAGTTAATTTTCCTGTGCAATTATGCTAATCATTTTGCATAGAACAGCAGATTAACAGATTTGATCATGGAGAGTTTATTATAATTTTAGTGATGTAAGTATTAATCCTTGAATCTTGGTATTTCAATGTGCAAGTCTTAAGAACTTTTAAACCATAAATCAGTCTTCAGATGTATTCCTTTTATGTGCTATTCCTGTGTAGTACCAGGTGCTGCTAAATATGGCAGAGGGTATTAGTAGGAATGAGTCTCCTCTATCTGGGGTTTTAGAGATGCAGTTAGGAAACTTATCATAAAAGTGAAAATAAACAGTATCAGGGTCGTAAGTGGATGTGAAGAAGTGCTCCTCCATTTATCTGAAGTGGGGATTATGAGACTGTTGAAGATCGGCGAGTGTGTCTAGGAGGGTAGTCCTTGTACCACAGGATCAGGACTTCAAACAAACCCTAGCACTTCCGAACCTCTTGACGGCCATAATTTACAGGTTCCTTATGAGTGTGTATGTTTGTTCATAATTCCTCAACAAGCAATGTCATTTGATTTTACCTCTTCCCGATTTGGCTCTTAGATTTCATATTTACTTTGCTTTGTTCAGAAGTAAAATTAATATCTGTGATAAAATTGTCAAAAAAGAAAATACACCATACAGTCTGCCCCCCATTGCATAATATTTTTAAATAATTGAAAAAGGAAGATTTTTTCAATCAGTGTGTTCATTTAAGAGGGAAAAAAAGTTTCCATAGAATTTATATGAAATTATGGTTTAATAAAGTTTTTGAAATGTTTATAAAAAATCAGCCTTATGTTTTCAGTTTTAAATTAGCCGTGTATATGACTAATCTTCAGAGTATTTCAACACCTGCTATGAATGAGGAATCAGTATGGATGCAGGTGTCAATAACTGAATTGTTACAGTTAATCTTGATAACGATTTTAACTTAGTCACAGTACAGTAAAAAAAAAAGTCAATTTGGAAATAAATGTTATACATCCTGGGGGGAGGTCAGGGGTCTTTTATTTAATAATGTTATTAATTAATACATATTCTTGATACAGTCCTGCCAAAAAATAACTAGCTCATACATTAAAAAATGCCTTTTAGTGGCACAATTTTTTTTGGTATTTTTTAATCCATGTTGATTTTAGACTAATAATATTGAGCATAACTGATACCTTGAGCAGAATATACCCTGAGAATTGCTATTTCAAAACGGAGTTTCCTCCCTTCTGCTGTTAAGTGAAGATAAAATTTAATCTGTTCCACTAACATAAAAACACAATGTGGGGGGTTGTGGGTCAATATTGACAGAGTGGTTGGTACCCATCACTTGTCTCTCATTTGAAGTGCATGATGGTCATTTAGGAGGGACCTCAAAAGCCGACAGCTCTTATTTGTCAACTTTCACACGTTAAGCAGGTACCCTAATTATTTGCTTAGCCTTTTCCTACGATGGCACATTGTTGAATTTAATCTGTCATACACAAGGTATTAAAAGCTTGATTGTTTGCCCATAAAAAAGATAATATGGGCTCATTTGAAATGTTACTAGAACATCTTTATTGAAATACTATAAAATACTTCCCAATAAATTTAAATGAAAAATTAATTTTCAGAGAAAAGATTCCTTTAAAGGGAGATTCCCTAGTCTTTTCTTAATAATCCTCTTTTTCTGATTTTTATCTCTGAAAACAAACACAACAAAGTTGCACTCAGCAAATAGGAAGTCCTCTTCAGATTACGCATTACATGGGTCTGTTGGTTTTGTGATTATGGGTGATGAAAGATGAAACAATTGAAGATATTCTTTGTCAATATTTTGAGACATCTGAGAGGGAGCTCCACAGTGGTGATGAACTTAAAGACTTGGTACGGTTTGTAATTGCAACCTTGGGGGTAAAAATTCTTGTCCTTTTCTTTGTAGGGGATCATCAAGGGCATCCACTTATTGCTGTAGCTATAGTAAGGAGTGGGTGCCATTCTGTGTCAAGGCATTAACAATTTGTACTGTCCAGTTTTAATAAATTCTCTTTTAAGAAGGATTAGGAGAAGTTTTGGCCATATGCGTTGTGTACTTTTTAAAGATGCTTTAGATCGATAGACTTTGATGTCTTCACACTCTAAGAAACCTCTACCTGATACTATTTGTTGACTCGCTGTTGGTTAATTCTGTGGTTGTTTATTCCTGTGTGTCTGAATTTTTATCCAGAGATTTTCATTCATAGGATTTTTTATTTAAAAATTTGATCAGATTGTACTATATAACATATGATAAAGGTCTCCAACTATTTCCAAGGTCTTCCCAGAAATTTAGGTCACGTTTAGAGTTTGTGATTTGTGATACAGTTCTACCTGGGAAAAAAGTCTCCGGTGGTCAAATAAGGGCTTTGACTTAGATTTAAAACAGGAACCTCTGTCAGGGTAAACATGAATGAAAAGGCTTCCAAACACTACAAGATAGCACAACAAAGAAGCTAGTTTGATCATTCATTCACATTTCAAACTCAAGCATCTAATCTTAGCTCACCATTCAACAGAGTGCTCCAATTGTGTTTATCTTGACCCATAGGTCGCAGAAAAAACAACTCTGTCCTTCAAAATGATTTCCAATTTTAAATTTATGAATGAAAATTTTCAATTAAATGAGTACCAGCCAAGCAACACTGAAATGTTGGTTGGAGAGAGAGGGATTCGGGTCTAAATTAATCTTGGCTGTCGCTCCCCTGCGCATCGAGATAGGAACAGGTAAAATGGGGGTCTGATTAATGGAGCGGGTGATGAGACCTGGGAGTAGGTCGAAGCAGATGTGACACTTGAAGTCCTCATCATAAGTTCTCTGTATGAATTGGCAGGTGCCCCCTGTAGGGAGGAAATGGTAGATGTGGATCTTTTGCCCATTCTTTCGACTCCTAACTTATTGAAAAGCCTATCAGTTTAGGAGTTACCTTGATTTCTTGTCACATGTAAACTAGGATTTAATGCTAAATTAGTTACAATATGTTTTATGAACATTTTAAATTAAAAATATTTATCTTTTTTTCAGGGTGGAAAGAAAGTTGCCAAGAAGGCTTCAAAGGCTGTTAAAAAGGGCAAGAAATAGACTGCGGTTCCAGAGAATGACCTTTGTATTAGATTTGATATCTATAGCTTTATAATAAATGTGTTCAACTTAAACCCTGGGTTCTTTGAAGTTACTCAATATCTGTTTGCTGAATTGCATTGTTATGCTCCCTGGATCTTGAGGAACCAAAGATTCAATTTCTGAATGATGGAAGAAGATTTTAAAAAAAGTTTTCCTTGATTATGGAAAAAAACCTCTCTGTTTAGGAACTTGGTTACTAACATGTCTCTGCCGTGCAATAGCTGGGGCATACAGTTTTACCCCTTTCTGTCCATTATTAACATTTTGTCGTATTAAGTTTTTCAGACTTTTTTTTGCTATGCTTGTAGATAATGAGCTAATTTTTGGTACTTGTATTTCCATTGTTATTGATGACTTGGCATCAAGTCCGAGTTTTAATGTTGATTTGCCCTTTTTTTTTTACTGAAGTAATGGCCCTTAAAAATTGAAAGAGAAAGGTTCACTTAAAACTTTTTCGACCCTGTGAATTTCTGAAAAATCAAAGCTGCTTATTTTTACTGGACATTGGATTAGATATCACTTGGACCTTTGGTGACTGCATATTATTGAGAATGACATAATTTTCCTACCATTCAATTGTCTCCCGCGTGGTGCAGTGGTGAGAGCATTTGCTTTAGAGTCGCGGAGTAAGGAGTTGATCCTTACGTCACGGGTTCGCATCCCACTGCGGGACTGAAGACCGATCCTTCGGATGAGACCGTATCAACTGAGGTCCCGTGTTGCAGTAGGTGCTGGCACGAAGTAGACCCCTCACTGCGCCCTGAGTGCCGAGTATACAATATACTATTCAGTGTATTATGATGTAATTAATTGCGTCATTATTTCAATGTCCTGAAAATTTCTTCAAAAAAACAAAACAAAACAAAAAACAAAGGTGATAATGAGCATAACAAAGTACACATTGATAAAATGATAACTGTGTTTGAAGATTATAAAATCTTTCATTTTTTGGGTCAAGGTGAGCTCATAATTCTTTGCTGAAGGTACTCAAATGCACGTTTTTTGCAAAATTCCAAAATTTCACAAAGCCAATTTTCCAATACCTCGTGGAAACTTTGTTGTTAGAAGTGAAAGCACAAAGACTACCTAGTGTATATTGATGTTTGAAATGGAATAGAACGTTGTTAGTCAATTTATTGAGATATGGACAGGGCCATTTTATGCAGAAAGTGAACCTAGCTCTTTCTCACCGTTTTCCGGACTTTTTTTTAGTGCTTGTAGATAATGAGTTGATTTTTGGTATGTCTTGATTTTGGTGTTCGTGTTTCATGATTGACATAATTTTGCGAAAGTTATGGGCCTTACGAGTATTCATTGAAAAGCGCTATCAATTCGACTTTTTTTGCTGTGCTTGTCGATTTTGAGATGTTGGGTATGTCCCTTGAAATTTATGACTTGCAGATCAAGTCCGAGTTTCGTAATGATTTACATATATTTTCAAGAGTTATTGCCCTTAGACTTTGAAAATTTAAAATTCACCGTTTTCCAGACTTTTTTGCTGTGCTTGTAGATAATATTCCTTGGTTTGTCTATTTGTATTGATGATTTGCAGATAAAATATGAAAGTCGTATTGATAGACCATTTTTACAAAAGATATTGCGATTAGATTTTCAAAGTTTTACTGTTTTTGGACCTTTTTTTATTGCTTTGAATGTATTAAAGTGATAACAATTTCACGCAGATTAAGTATGTTTTGGTATGGACAACTAATTCCAGAAAATAAAAGCAGCAGTATGATTTTTATTTTTAGGTCATTCCCACCATTTTTTTTTTAATTTTCACACTCTTGGATTTTCATATATTTAAAACAGCAGGGACATTCGTGTCAAACTGACACATCTAGTTCTTCTTGCAATGGTAACATAACTTGCTTAACCTTGAGGTAACACTCCCTGTACATTACAAAAGTGTTGTGTTGTTGTGAAGGAAGAAATGCAGACAAGACAAGTCAAGCGGCCTTTAGTTGTGTAATAACAGCTCCTTGTCAAATGTATTAAACTGTTAGGGTCTTATAGTGACCCCAGTGTGTTTGATCTGTGCCAGAATTATTCAGCAAATAACAAACGTAAGCTAAAACGGTGACTTACATACAAAAGCAGAATTGTAAACATGGTGCAAAATAAGATGGAATCAAGTATTACCAAAATAAAACAAGAGGCCCAAGGGCCTTAACGGTCACCTGAGTACAATGCAACAATTTAGAGGATCCATAAACTAATAAATGAAGCTTTGTTGCCCAAAAGCAAGAAAAATGGTATGATTAGCATCAACAAAATAATTGGTCTAGTATCTATCTGTCCCCCATTTATCGCTATTACCATGCAGACTATTAACAAAATGTCTATTTTTAACCCCATATTATTACTTCTCACATTGGCCACTCTTGGCCTTTGAAGAACATTTAAAAAGATGATTATTTTTGTCTCATTTTTATTCATTTATTATTTCCAAGTCTACCTGATCATTAAAACTATGAAAGTACTTTTTGTATTAAACAATAAATATTCTTGCATAATTTTCTTATTCATTAACCTTTCAAGTACATTATTTATAGTGATTAATTATCAAAGGTGAATGGTAAAGGGAAATAACTTTGATCAGCAGAATACAAGTTAATAGAGCCCTGGCCAGGACCAGAACACTTGACTAAATGGTCCAGGTGTTCAGAATTCTGGTAAAAATACCCTTGCACATGTTGCATATTAAAACTTTTACTCTGTTTGCCTCGAATATGCCAAGAAGCATAGAAGATTTTCAAAGAAATGCATTTCACTTTATTTTTAAATAAATAAAGCCCCATCCTTACACTAGAACATCTGACCCATTGGCCATGAACTCACAATTCTGGAAGATTGATTGATTGATTGTATGTTGTTTTACGTCCCATTCGAGAATTTTTCACTCATATAGAGACGTCACCATATACCGGTGAAGGGCTTCAAATTTTGACCTTTACTCGGCACTCAGGGCCATTGAGCAGTGAGGGATCTTTATCGTGCCAACGCCTGCCGTGACACGGGGCCTCCGTTTTTAAGGTCTCATCCGAAGGACCCGCAACTTTCACTTCAAAGTGCCGAGCGCATGGCGAAGGAACAGTTGCTACCCATTTTTTATCGACTTAGGTTAGTCGCGGCCGAAATTCGAACTCACGACCTCCCGATCACGAAGCGAGCGCTCTACCGACTGAGCTACCGTGAACGGTCAATTCTGGAAGAAGCACCCTTGCACATCATAACTATAAACTTGTTTCTTTGCTTTATAACCAGTAGTACAAAAAATATTTTGAAAGATTTTCACTATATAATCAATAGAGCCCCTCCCCTTTCACCAGAACCCCTGACCCAGGGGCCATGATTTCACGATTTTGGAAGAGGCATTCTTCCATATCATAACCATGCACTTCCTTTGTTTGAAAAATACCCAGGTGCAGAGAATAAGATTTTGAAAGATTTTATGCATTTTCCCCATATAATCAATAGAGCCCCGCCCTAACACCAGAACCCCTGACCATGGGGTCATGAAATTCATAATTTCTGAGGAGGCAGTCATGCTCATCATAACTTTGTACTTAGTTTATTTAATATCTAGGGACAGAGAAGAAAATTTTCAAAGAATTAATGTATTTTCACTATATGTGTCAATAGAGCCCCGCCCCAACACCAGAACCCTTGACCAAAGGGCCATGAAATTCACAATTTTGGAAGAGACAACCATGCTCGTGATAACTATGCACTTGAAACAGGGACCATGAAATTCACAATTTCGGAAGAGGCACTCTTGCTCTTCATAACTATCCACTAAGTTAGTTTATTTAATACCCAGGAGCAGAAGAGATTTTCAAAGAATTAATGCAATTTTACTATATAATCAATAGAGCCCTGCCCTAAAACCAGAACCCCTGACCCAGGTGCCATGAAATTCGCAATTTCTGAAAAGACAGCCATGCTCACCATAACTATGTTCTTAGTTAGTTTATTTAATACACAGTAGCTGAGAAGATTTTCAATGAATTAATGTATTTTCAATATATCATTAATAGAGCCCCGCCCTAACACTAGAACCCCAGACCCAGGGGCCATGAAATCCACAATTTTGGAAGAGGCACTCTTGCTCTTCATAACTATGCACTAAGTTAGTTTATTTAATACCCAGGAGCAGAGAAGATTTTCAAAGAATTAATGCAATTTTACTATATAATCAATAGAGCCCCACCCTAACACCAGAACCCCTGACCCAGGGGCCATGAAATTCACAATTTCTGAAAAGGCAACCATGCCCGTGGTAACTATGTTTTTAGTTAATTTATTTAATACCCAGTAGCGGAGGAGATTTTCAATGAATTAATGTATTTTCACTATATAATTAATAGAGCCCCGCCCTAACACCAGAACCCCTGACCCAGGGGCCATGAAATTCACAATTTTGGAAAAGGCACTCTTGCTGTTCATAACTATGCACTAAGTTAGTTTATTTAATACCCAGGAAGAGAGAAGAAGATTTTCAAAGAATAAATGCATTTTCACTATATAATCAATAGAGCCCCGCCCTAACACCAGAATCCCTGACCCAGGTGCCATGAAATTCACAATTTTGGAAGAGGCACTCTTGCTCCTCATGCACTTAGTTAGTTTATTTAATACCCAGGAGCAGAGAAGAAGATTTTCATAGAAATAATGCATTTTCACTATATGATCTATATAGTCCCACCCTAGCACCAGAACCCCTGACCCTGGGGCCATGAAATTCATAATTTTGGAAGAGGCACTCTTGTTCTTCATAACTATCTACTTAGTTAGTTTATTTAATACCCAGGAGCAGAGAAGAAGATTTTCAAAGAAATAATGCATTTTCACTATATGATCTATATAGCCCCGCCCTAGCACCAGAACCCCTAACCCAGGGGCCATGAATTTCACAACTTTGGTAGAGAGCTCAATGCTTATTACAATCATGCCAACAGTTTGACTGCTTGATGTACAGGAGTAAAGAAGAAGATTTTTTAAGATTGCATTAATTTTGGTGGTTTTAGCC